TCTCCTCTAGGGTTGTTTACTTACCCAGCCTGTTTCCCCTCTTGGTTCTGGGGTTCGTACTTTGGCCCACGCGAGTCACTCTACCTGCCGAGCTTATGTGGGTATTGTTTACTACCTGTAAACCAGACATGGTCCAAACTTGCGAGACAGGGCCCCAGGTGATACCCCTCTTTGTTACACTTTGGCTCTTTCCTATACAAGTTGTCTGCGAGCCAGTATGTTAATTCATCTAATATAATATAGTAAACATTCCCTCCTCCCCCCCCCCCCGACTGTAAAGTATTCTGGTTATTTTTTTGTTGCTGAGCAGGTGTGGATTGGAGTGCAGGCACTCGAGATTTTTCTTCTCCTATGCCATCGGCCTGTGGGTGCCCTGATCTGCGCTGTGGGCAGCTATAATCGCTTCCATAAGCAACTGTTACAGTGAGTTTCATACACAACATCAATCAGTACGCGCAGTGTCACCTGAAGGAGCCCACATCTAAGCACTCAGACATAGAGTATTCAAACCAAAGCAGAGAAACGTACTTTAATGTGCACCACATTTCTTTGCATAACGGACAGGGGGTATCTTCGCTGTGTCGTAGTCGCTTTCTACTTGCAATCGCGTATGAATGGGTATAAAAACATTCGGTTCCTTTTCTCCTACAAAATAAATCATGGCCTACCTGCGAACAACCATTACGCCTTGAATACCTCTGCTCTGTATGAGTGTGCCGCAGGGAATGTGAAGGATAAAAGCCCAAAGACTCCATAGCGCACATTAGATAACATTTCAGGATGTAGAGTACTTTCCCTTCATGAAGTCAGAAATAGAATGTTATCTACACAGCCAGGAACGAATAATATGCAGTGTCTATAATAATAATAATAATAATAATAAATTCAATTTATTTAGCGCTTCTCATCTGCCAAGACAGATCCTGAAGTGCTTCACAACAGACGACACTGATAACATTTAAGAGATAACAAGTTAAAAAAATAAAATTAAAATCGGAGATGGCAATAAAAATGGCAGTACTCCAGGTGTACCATGCTCAAAGTTTATTGGAAGGCCTGCCGAAAGAAGAGGGTCTTAAGGCCGGTTTTGAAGACCTCGGTGGAAGGGGCAGATCTCAGCTGATCTGGGAGGGAGTTCCAGAGGCGCGGGGCGAATGAGCAGAAGGCTCGGTCTCCCATTGTCCGGAGACGTGTGCGGGGGATGTAGAGATGCTTTGAATGTGTAACAAGCTCAGATATGTAAACATATCATGGCTGCTAGGAGGTCTTGAGCCCCGTAGCAGTATTAGGGACTTTTTTCTGTAGATCAGCACTTGCTTGCTTATGTGGAATGCCCATAATAGGAGGAGCCTCATGAATATCCTACCATCTCACATTTGCTCAACCCTGACCTTAATTGGAAGTCAAAAGATGAGTTCAGATTTTGAGGTATGTTTGCTCAGCTCAGTTTTCTCACAGACACATGGAGTAGCCCAGGAATAGCTGGTGAGAGTATATAAAGTACATTTACTTGGTTTCAGTACAACATTCTTTGACTTGTTCACATGCTTTAACACCACATAGTTTGATTACACGCAGGTATTTTTAGCCATGCTACCAATTTGGATCCCGGGGTAATAATGTCTATCTGCTAGTCCAAGACTTTGGTTCAGGGAGAAATATCTTGAAGCACTGGATAGATTGACATTAATATTGAAACATTAGCAGTCTTAACATGACTAATGTTAGTGAAGCATGCTAAACTATGAGACAATGTTTATCTTGGTGTTACAAAATATTCATGTTGCATGCCAGAATGTTAAATGACATACATAACATGCTAAACATCACATAATAATAATAATAAAATAAATTATATTTATATAGCGCTTTTCTGGAACTCAAAAACGCTTTACAGTATGAGGGAGAGTAGACAAACAAGGACAGGCAAAAATAAATAAATAAAAATAAAAACATCAGAAATAGTTGTTGTTGACACAGTTGGTAATATGTGCACAATACACAAAGTACCCTGTACACTAATGAAATAGTACCTCTACATGGAGCATTCAGATCAAAGTAGAGGTGACCTTAAAGGGCTTAAAGTGTGCTGCTTCAGAATTGCTTGGCGGATTGTCAAATAGTTTTGGAAACCCTCTATTCACATACCTTTGATTAAAGGCTTTAACTCCAACTTGTGTTCCTGGTGGTGTGTAATGAGCATTGACGCCTCATAGGGCTCCTAGTGGGGCTATTGACTTTAATCTTGTTTAATTGTTGTGCTTATAAACACAAACACCCACTCTCCCTTGTTTTGATTATTCACATTGGAGCACTGTTTCAGATTGAGAGGCTGTATTGAGCGTAGACTGAGTGGAGGTTGTTCCCCCACACAGCTGCTACAGCGTCATAATAACCATCGTGGTGCAACTGTTGTTTATACATTCTTCATATCAGAAAGGATTCTTGGCCGGTGTTGCTAGATAAACTTCACTTGTCAGGATAAACAGAAGGTCATTCCTCGCTATGTACACCGGATAAGAGGGAGGCTGTTCACTTCGTAGAATTACATCTCCAACATAATTGAATTAGACATGCATGCATTATCATCACGTTAGACATACAGTATGTAGCAAGAAGTGCAAAGGGGGTTTCCATGTACTCTCTCCCCCCTTTAGAGACAGACTCATTAACTTCTCTGCTGTCTACCTTCCACAAAGACAACAGTAGCTTTTAGAGGAATTGCTATTGATCCCCTGTTCTCCTCTCAGCCCATCTCCTCTGTTGCCAATATTTGTCTTGAGTATGTTATGCGAGTCTCTGGTTACAGCATATTATAATGCTTTCTCTCTGTTCTGTTTCCCGTCTTCCTTTATCTTTCCTACTCTCCATATTTCTCTGTAGGGATGCCTTCTTGCTGGCCATGATAAACAGTGGTACGAGTTTCTTTGCTGGCTTTGTGGTGTTTTCTGTCCTGGGCTTCATGGCCGCAGAGCAAGGAGTGGACATCAGTAAAGTAGCTGAGAGTGGTAAGAATACCGTTTCCCTGTGACTTCCTGCCTAATAACCCAATTCAATGAGCTGAGTATTGGCAGTTCGAGCTATATGCCCTTGACACCTTATGCTTCTGACTCTCTCTGTTAACGTGCAGGTCCAGGCCTGGCGTTTATAGCCTACCCCAAGGCTGTGACTCTAATGCCTCTGGCGCCAGTTTGGGCAGCACTTTTCTTCTTTATGTTGCTAGTACTGGGCTTGGACAGCCAGGTAATAACGATTTCTGATTGTTCATATACACTTTAAAAAGGATTGGGATAACCACTTGGCTTAGAGGAACTGTAAGTGATTCTTTATTTTGCTGTCTTTTTAAATCCCTCGCACATTAGTACGAATAGATAGCTAATCTACATTTCTTTCACTTTCCCTCAATGACTCTTACAAGTGCAACGCAAGCGGTCTAGATCACATCCAGTTTGAGCATTTCTTAGCAGCCTGTGTGTGTGTGCCTACATCCATTGTTTTACAGCCCAGGGATTTGTCAATGAGCTTCTGTATGATTCACACAGAGAGCGTCTGTCTACTCTCCCATCCATCCATCCATCCATTTACTCCTAGTTTCCATTCTCTCTTTCCATTCCATCCATCGCTCTCCCTTTCCTGCCATAGCCACGTTAGCCGTGCATATGCTGCTGTTTCAAGTAAATGATGTAAAACAATAGCCAAGTGGCCGTCTTACTCTAATTCTAAGGGTTTGAACATATGTTTCAGCAAAGACACAAGTAAGCGATGTGTGCATAAGGGCACTGAGGAGGGGTGTCTGGGTTTTTCCAAAAGTATCACCTAAAGAACACACTACGATTCTGTTCACATCCCCCACTAACTTCCCTCTTTTATCTTTGTGTCTCTCTTTCTCTCACTCAACATGTCCCTGTCTTGTTCTCTCTGCCCTCTCTGTACTCTGTTTCAGTTTGTAGGGGTAGAGGGTTTGATAACGGGAATTATGGACATGCTACCGCCTAAATCTGCCATGGGCTCCCTGCGGCGAGAGGTGGTAGCGGCCATCTGCTGCGTCATCTGCTTCTTGATCGACATATCCATGGTCACTGAGGTACGGTTGGGATTCCCTTGACTTCTTGACCTTATGAGATATTTCATTCTTTAGCATTAGGCAGGTTGTCATTTTGAGTTTGTCATTTTAATATACATCAGATTATTATAACACAACATCCTTCTAGGCAAAATACAATCCAATGTAGAAACTAAATGAAAGTCCGGTCTCTTACCTGATCTTGAGATTATTTTTGCTACTGTACTAAAAGATTATTTAAATGTTTCTGTAAAAAAAACTAATGCTCCTCGGCACAGGAGCCATTGCCAGGAATGAACTTGGATGAAAGCCTAAACAGTGGAGACAAGGCTAGAAATAGGTCATCAAGCATTAACATGATGGCCTTGACTGCGCTCTTTGTTTCTGGCAGGGAGGGATGTATGTCTTCCAGCTGTTTGACTACTACTCTGCCAGTGGCATCACTCTGCTGTGGCAGGCCTTCTGGGAGTGTGTGGTGATTGCTTGGGTCTATGGTGAGACAGTGCCACACAATTACAATACAAGAACGCGAAACCGCTCAAACCAACAAACTATCACAACATCCTGATGTCATTTCTGTCAGGCGCGGACCGTTTCATGGATGACGTGGCTCGTATGATCGGCTATCAGCCCCTCCCCTACATGAAGTGGTGCTGGTCCTACATCACACCTTTAGTCTGTGTGGTAAGTGCTTCTCTGTTTGTTTGTATACAAACTGTACCTTGTCTGTTGCAAACCACTGACATGTCTGCCCTTTTTCATTACAGTCAGTGTTCATTTTCCATGTGGTGAACTACAAACCCCTTACCTACAACACAGTGTACACCTACCCCCTGTGGGGCGAAGTGCTTGGCTGGATATTGGCCCTTTCCTCAATGCTCTGTATCCCGGTCACCGTTCTCTACAAACTACTGCGCTGCAAAGGATCTTTTCGGGAGGTCAGTATGCCTGGGTGCAGGCGTGTACACTCAACCATTCTCTTGTGCATGCGTTACCGTTTGTAATGAACAGAAATGTCTCCTTGGATACCGCCCATGCTCGCCTCTCTGTTATTTGCTCTGTTGATTTCACCATTGCTCATTAGAGAAGGCTGAAGCATCTGCCCCACAAACAGCTCACTGTCTGTATGCTCTTGTCTTTCTCCATGTAGCGCTGGAAGCACCTAACTACACCCGTTTGGGGCCGACATCACATGGAGTACATGGCCCCGGAGAGCGGGGCCAAACTGCTGCCCCCTGCAGGAACAAAGAGCACGCTTCTCTTTGAAAGTGTCATCTGATGAGCTGAGCCCCGCTGAACACAGAGCCTTGACGTCAGCACACACCATCTACACAAAATACATGCACACCACACAGGCCTGGTAAGAGCTAAGTGCAGATTGGTTACACATCCTCCACAGTTTGAAACCTGAATGGAGAAGCCCTGGACAAATGGACGACCAAAGATTAGATGGGAGAAGAACCGAAACACACCCACACAGTCATCACCACTGAAACACGCCCTGCTCTGCTTTCTGACTCTACCTCGCTGACTCTCCCCGCTCCCGCCTCTGTGCTGTCCCGTCTCGTCTTGTTCTGTAAGTGTGATGTGTCCAGTGTAGCTGCGATATCTTCCCTGTCTGTCCCTGTCTGTCATCCGTCCCCGTGTCATGCCATTTTGTGATGAGCAGAGACCTAAAAATACTTTAAAAACATTCTAATCGAAAGATCTACTGCTGGTGTGTGTGTGTGTGTGTGTGTGTGTGTGTGTGTGTGTGTGTGTGTGTGGGACCGTGGCAGGGGTGTCTTGATTTACATTGGACATTGTCTTTGGCCAAAGTTTGCTGCCAACTTTATTTCCCTCAAGTAACTGTTGAAGAACAGCTTCCATTTGTAAAAAATAAAATAAAATTATAGTTATCAAAAGGAGACCATCACCACTTCCAGCTATGTGTTATGAGCTAACTTAAGTATCCAGTGTATTGTAGGGTCTGTGAATCAGTGTTAACAATATTTCAAGGGGATGATTATCAGTATTTCCACCTTAAGAGAAGGAGAGAAACTGAAACCTGAATTGTGCAGAGAGCAGGAGAATGTGTTGTGGGGAGGGGAAAGAGCCTTGATGTGAGGAAGGGAGCAATAAATGACCAGATAAAGACGGATGTGTTTTTTCTGACTTTTTATTTACAGTCTCATTCATACTTTGTCTAACTCTAGAAATGTACCAAAACTATTCTGGTTGAATCACATTTAATATGTTACACCGCCGGTATAAAAACTAGTCAAACATTTCACAGATAACTTGACGTGTCAGGTAGAACAAAGGTGAACCGTAAGCACTCTTAAGGAGAGTGTTCTGTAGTTTACAACACTCGACATTGTTTGCATTGGAGTGGTTCATCCAAGGAACCAATATTTAAGGATCCCTGACACACATTTCCGTGTTTTCTGCTGGTTGATAATTGATTAGTCCCATCCCACATCCCACAAATTGAGACATAATAAACACAGGAGTAAATGTGATTATCAAATGTATTTCTTTTAAATTCTTGCAGACCTTTCAAACACAGAAACATGGCCTTGAGCAAATATATTTTGGTGGGCTATTCAAATAATTACTTCCAATTATTTATGTCAATAATTGACACTGGATCCCAAAAATAGAAAAGATGTAAGAGGATTCAGACTTGTGAATACTAACCATAAATACACCCACATTGTGTTTAAAAGCTGCTACGCCTACTACTGAAATGCCTACTACACCTTAACTGCTATTCAGTTCATTCTTCAATGTTTTGAATTGTAATTAAAGGATTGATAAAACGTTTCTGAGGCAATGGCCCGGCCATACCGGCTGAATATTCACATGTTATTAATGTTTTCTGGAATATATTGTTGGTTCAAAAATATAATTGATAGACAGACATATGCTCACACATCGTGGCCCGTTTTTCACAACAACAAGTCTCACATATGAGTTTCCCCTTACAGTCAACCTTTCACTCACTCTCTCACACAGGCTATAAATACAGTCTCCTATTTGTCCACTGTTACATTCTCCCACTCAACCCCCGCCCCTTCTCTGTCCTTCACACACGCCACGGAGCGGGAGAGCTGCAATGACGTATTGCCGGCTATCTCATTAGACGATATCATAAAAAGTCTGTTGCCACAGCAACGGCTCCCTGTATTGCCATGGCAACCAACCGCCATGTCAAGGTGGTGCATTCTCCCCCATTGAAGGAGGAGGAGACAATGACGACCAATAGTGAGCAATGATACGTGCAGCAGCCTAAGAAGAGGAGGAGGATGGAGAGAGCTGGAGCGGTCTGACCCCTGATGATTACATCTGAGTGCTGCACGACACATCCTGAAAAAACATCAACATTTAGGGCTAGGGGTGAGAACATTTCAAACGTATATCACAGCAATGACACGTAAAGTCATTTTGAGAGTGATGAACTCACAAGAACGGAGTCAGTGTCGCCCAGTTTCTTGAGAATGTGAAGCACTGCATCATGAACTGTGACAAACAGCCGGCTCTTTGGGATGGACTCTGAGAAGAAGCCTGCCGCCTCCAGCTGCTCCACGACACATGCTGATATTTGACCACACAGAGGCATGCATGACAATGAGGTCTGAACGCATTAGACGTAAAGCATTTGATCATAGAAATACATATTTATGTCTGGCTGATGTTTCGGAACAATGTGGCACCTCTAAAGCCGAGACCTTGACACATTTATTATCGAAGCTCCATTGTCTTGACTCTAGGACATTAGGTTTGTCTTGTTGTGTCTAGTTTGCTCACCTTGGCAGCCTGCTAGATAGACGTCCAAATCAATCTCTGCAAAGTCCCTGAAAATCTGATTAAGAAAAGACAGGTATCATTTTATGTATTTTTGTGGGACATTCGATATTTTAATAATGCATATAAGAATGGCCTCCCCCTTCCCACATGTATTCACTTAGTTAAACATATGATGGTTAAATGAAATGAACACATACATTTTTCAAGGTCTTCACAGAGACGGTGTCCACAAAGCTGGTGGTCGAGATGTCCAAGATAATGCTGTGCGTGCCTGACCTGACAGCCCTTTCCTTTTCCTCATTTCCGCGCTGCGATACCTTGTTAATGCTGTTATCACCGTGGTAACCTGTTTCTGAATCTGAGTCGGACATGGTTGTGTCATGCTGGTAAGCCTCGTTTACCTGGCCTATACTAAGGCCGTTTGTGGAGGTTTCTGTCAGGCCTAAGGCTACAACATCCCCCTGACTTTGCTCCTTCAGTCCTGCAGAGACTTTCCTCTCATTCATCTCTGAGAAAGTGTCCTTGGAGAGTCGGCGGACAGCTTTTCTCTGCCAAAAGGTAGAAACATTGGAAATAACATTTAGTGACTTATCAGTTTTATATCAAATATGTCATTTTTAAAACTAGAGTGTCATTTAGGATATCATACTTGTTTCTTTGCCTCCTTTTTGGCTTTATTTTTCTCTTTTTCTTGTTTACGCTTTAGTTTCCTTTCTTGCTTCTTCTTTGCCGTCAGCAGCTTCCCGATTTCTATTCCACTCTGCACAAAAAGCCAAGCTTTGCATTAAAGAGAGAAAAAGGGAAAGTGAGACAAGTGAGAGCGATAATGAAAGCAATTAAGGGACCTGTAGGCAGCGGACAGGGATTTCAAATGCAAGCCTGCACCCAAACACACTTCCACATTCATGGACACACACCTTCTCTTGCAGGGCCTCCAAGTACATCTCAGCATTTGTGTAGTAGATGGTTGTAGATGAACGGAAGATTTTAATTCCTGGAATCTCTTTAGCCTGTAGGGACACAACATGAAGCAGAAGAGTTTTAAAGTGCTGTTCTGCTTTCCGTTCATCTTGTACCTCCCTCAGCTATTGGCTAAATGGAGTTCTACCACCATTTCATGTGCACATTTCAGGGGGAAAATAAGGCTTTATATTTATATTTAGTTGTATATTAAAATGCAGATTAAGACATTAACGATAAGATTTCTGTTGCCAACAGAGTACCCAAAAAATCAAATCTGTTAAATGATTTTTTTTTTTGCTACTCACAGCATTGGCAAAATGACCTTTTAACAAGACGTAAAGCTATGCTAGAAGCTTTGTAAAGCTGTACCTCAGCTAAATACTCAAATCAGCATGCTAACACTCGTAAAGCAGGTGTAATGTTGACCTTGTGCACCACCTTCTCATAGTGTGTTTTTTTGTTATACTTGCTAATTAGCACTAAACCAAACAGTACAGCTAATCTTGATGAGTATGTCTTTATTTTTGCAATTATTCCAATACTTTGGTCATCATTGGAAACAATGTATGTCCCAATTGTGTGCCAATCATTCTGGTGATTGTTGAGATATTTGTGACGTTGGTATCCCTCAGGCAACTCCGCTAAAATGAAACAACAATGTAGAATAAGTATTTTCTTAAGAAATGTATGAACTGTTGACAGTGAACTCTGTAGATAATGAATCAGATATCTTATAATCTAAAAAAATGTAAAGCTATCTATATGGGTAAATACCAACAGGTTGGCGAGAAAAAGTGTTAAAATTCTATTTGGTTGACCTTTTACTTTTCTGTCGATGATTATTATACTGTGTATCATTTTTGTTTGTCACAAAACCATTACTACCTCCTTGTAGGTATCTGTGTCCAGATACAGGTCAGTGCCTGACACGTGGCCCAAGATAGAGTAACGGGGTCTGAAAGGTATTAAAAATGACATTGTTATTGCAGCTCTGTGAAATCGTCATAAAATCTGATATTGTGTTTACATATATACATCTTTAATTAATAATAAGTAGCGTGTAGTTACAGTTGTGTCCTGAAGATGACAGTTAGCATGGAAAAGCCAACGGAGACAGCCAAACCCAGGTCCAAGTTGAGCAGGATGGTGCTTGTGAATGTGACCAGCCACACCATCTAAAGGTTAGCAGAAACACTGACAGTCAGCGGGGTCAAAGGGCTATTCGGTTAAAAAAAAAGGATAAACTGAGCAAAATGACTCTTAGAGAGGATTTAGTCGTACCAGGTCAACCTTGTTGGTCTTCCACAGCAGAGACACATCCAGGAATTGCTTAAACATGCCTTTCAAATTCACAAACACTATTGTGGATAAGACAGCCTAAGGAACAAAAACACATACAGTTATATCGATATGAACCCACAGCCTTATAGGGCATTAAAAATGATCTGCAAAGAGAGATTCTGATCAAGAGGGTTACCTTGGGGAGATCTGAAAAAAGGGAACCTATTTTCAAAACCGTGACGAGCACGATGACTGACGAAATCAATCCTGCAACCTGACAAAACACACACAAAAGTATTTAACATAAAAAAGCCCCAAGTAGGATATAATAATAAAATATAATTAGTGGTATTTGGGCCTTTCCCCCCCATATGTGTGTTTACTTGTGTCTTGCCCCCTGTGCTCTCCTGCACGAGGCTGCGAGACAAGGAGGAAGTCACAGAGTAACACTGAAAGAAGCCACCGACAGTGTTACTGAGACCCAAAGCAACCAGCTCCTGAATAAAAGAGGAAGAGCAAAAAACACCACATTTAGGTTGAGAAACTGATGACAATTGTAACACTATTCATATCCTAGCCATTAGTGTACTGGTATATAATAGGCTGTTACCTGGGGTCAACAACAAAGTTTAGTTTTCATTAACTTTGTGGCCATGTCAACACATTTCTGCCAGGCTGAGAGCATTGCCAAGCTTATTTAAGACACACTTGATTGCATAAAGCTTGTTGAACATTAATTATTTAGGAGGCCAGCTCTTAGAGGCTGTGAGTGCTCCCAGACTGCCTCGCTCCAAAACAGAATGATCGCAGTCACATGCCTCCGCAAGTATTTGTGAATAAGTCTGTGTGCTATACACAAGAATAAGCTATTTTTCAATACTGACTGTAGAGAAAGCAGAGGTTGTTAAAGGTTCTTTGTATGACTATTTCCTGGAGTAGACCTGATGTTCTAGCAAACGGAAGACAGTGCAGTTCAATCTCAGGTTGTGGTTTGGCATAAATAATGAATAATCAGAAGAGAAAGCCAAAGATCGCATCTTCATTATACATACAGTACTCTTCTATAGTACCTGTGATCACATTTATACATGCTTTGTGTCTACATTTTTCCAGATGTGAGTACACACAAGCAACACTTTAAGATAAACTGCAAAATGAACTTAGTGAAACTGCAACTATGTGTTATGCATGTATGTGTTCGGCTTTGGAGGGCTTTGTAACATGACGTTATGCCATGTGAGATGTTTGAGGCATTTAGAAATGGACTTATATTACTGGCTTAAATGGCCAACTCCTTTAGCCAACTTCTTAAAAGGTTTAGGCGATCAAATTTCAGTGCGCCATTACTATTAGGATATAATTAAGAAATTGATGTTGCCTAATATGAGCTGTAGATAGAGACTATGGGGAAACAAGAGAAACCTCTTTTCTAAAATTGCACA